TTTCGTCTCCCCCTTCCCTTCTGCATCGGTTTTACCATGTTTGCCGGCGGGTATTACACACCCTCGCGTTGGGCACATCCGCCTCTGGCTTGGATGTTTTGCGGCGGTTTTGTTGTTAATGTTTTGGCGGCCATTTTACCCTACTGGGTGCACTGCCACTTCTGGCAACCAGGGCCAAAAGCATGTGTCTTGTAATCATGTGTCGTGTAAACATTTGTCCTAGTTTCATTTGCAGGCTGAGTGTTTGCGCTCTCTTTTTTAGGCCTTTTCATTTAGTGTATGCACTCCTGTTCTTATCGGTGATTTGGTGTGCCTTATCTCTGGTTTGGGTAATGTCTGCTTTGTTAGGGGTAGGGAGGTATAAGGATTGCTGTGTGTTTCACGCATCTCTGCTGAGGTGTCATTGGTTTTTGGGTAAGTTTGTACTTATCTCGCTGTACTCTTTTTCTTGTGCTTGCGGGGGTTCCCTGCATTCCCTTTCCTTCCTTCTCTGCCTTTGGGCAAATTCTTTTCTTGTCTTCTGTGGCTCCTTTGTATACTCGGATGCCACCGGTGTCCCTTCTGGTTGTTCTACTCGTCTTGAGTCATTCATCTTTTCCTGGCATTTTCTCTGCAAGGCATGTATGACTTTTATTTTTATATCTTTCCTCAGGAGGTTTTAGGGCATGCGATTAATTTTATTCCCTTTGGTATGTCTTGTATGACTTTACCTCAATTCGTTATTTCGGATGCCACTACTGCTGTGTGTTCTTTATATGGGTCTGACCAAGGATACGCTACAGCTGCAGAACGACTTTCTATGTCTTGTATCTTTATATTCATGGTGTCCCACCGTGTGTTGCCCCTGGGGACTTATGGGTAGGGGTTGTTTTTTTCTTTTCTTATGGGCACCGGTTTTGTGCCTGGTGATCTTGCCCTGTATGCTCGTCTGCCCCCCCCCCCCCCCCCCCCAAGCCTACGGTCCTCAGAATCCTGTCCGTATTATGGCCATGGCAGCTGTGAGGCATTTATTCAGGAAACAAAAAGAAAACAAAAAATACAAAGTAAATAAATAAATCATCTTAAGATAACCTCAAGATATGGTGCCCATATCTTAAGAAGCACATCAACAAACTGGAAAAAGTGCAAAGAAAGTAAATAAATAAATTAAATATGGACAACTAATGAAATTTTTCATTCACATGGTGTGTCTTTTCTGCCAGCAAATGTGGTAGGTTGGGCTTTCCCCAGGTTTGTTTCTGGGTGCCCTAGGGTTCCTCAGATTCATTTTTTGGAGGGTTTCTTCCTCTCAAACTCTCAAAATCCCCTTTTGGGATTTAGGAGGCTCTTGACTCATACCTCCTGTGGGACCCAGTTTGCACCTCTCTGTGGGATACGGTTTTTATTTGGTTTGATTCCTCTTACACTGACCGCCTCGATGTCTGGTTGTTGTCATTCCGGCTGGTGTGCTTATCTGCTAGCCAGAGTTCTGGATCTTTTCCAGCTTGCCGGGTTTGGGTTCCTAGTAACTTGGTGGGAGTCCCAGTTGATTCCGTCTCAGGTTCGAACTTGGCTGGGCCTCGTGTGGGATTCTCAGTCGGCATCCGTCTCTCTCCCTCCTGTGGCATTGCTTGGGTTGCGGTCCCGCCTTCAGCTGTTTTTGGAGGGGACCAGGGTCACTCAGCGGTTGCACGAGCAGTGTGGGAGCCTAAACTTTGCCATGCTGGTTTCCGCACTGGGCAGGGTTTGGCTTTAGAGGTGAGTTTGGTATTGTCGGGGCGGCCCTTTTGCCTCTCACAACCGCTGGATTCATACCCTGGAGTCCTTATGTCAGTTGCTGTGTCTCTGGCTTCCTCTCCTGGCTTTCAGGGTTCGGTGCCATGGTACCTTTTCCTCACTCAATGTGTTCACGGACACCTTGTCTCTTGGTTGGGGCTTTCTGACCAGCAATCACCAGGCTGGTCTGGGACGTTGGGCACAGTACTTCTGTCAAACGCACAGCACAGTGCGAGAGTTTGCGGCTGTGTGGCAGGCGCTGCAGTGGATTTATCTTCTTCGGGGCTCTGTGATCTGGCTCCATTCAGACTGCTCCCCTATGATTCATTCTCAACTGGGCCACCTCCCCAGATGGGGGGGGGGGAGTTCGGAGGCCCACGGCTCTTTGGGGCTGGTCGCTTCGGGTAGCTCTTCTGCCGAGTTCTCCGGGTTTGTTCTCCACGTCGTTCATTCAGGGAGTGTCCAATGTCTTGGCAGATGGCCTGTCATGATCTTTCCCCTGTCCATGGAGTCGACAGTAGGCGCCAGCTCTGTCCTTGGCTTCTTCTTTTTCTTCGCAATACGTGCAGTTTGCATGAAGGTATATCCTCCCAATGACTGCATGAGTGGTAATGTAGAAATATGCATATATGACTGCACAACAACACATCAACAGTCACAACGTGCCGAGTCAAGAAGATAATGACTCCGTCAAGGCGGGCGAGGATAAAGGCAAAATAAACAAGGAGAGGAACGTAGGATGGGAATAAAGAAAACAGAAGGCGAACGCAAAACGTTGCTGCTGTAAAGAATGTGAGGGATGAAGGCAAGATATAAAGGGCAGGGGCAAAGGATGTGAAGGAGGCAAGCGCGAATGAGTAGAAGGGTAGAGGAAGTCAAGACGGGGCAGGCGAGGTTAGGACAGGGCAAGGCATGTGGATGGCATCCGGAGCCTCACGACTGGGATGCTAACGCATCGGACTCCACAGAAATGCCAGCAGGACAATGGGAGGAAGCCCTAAGAAGGGCGCGAGGACAAGTGGTGGGAGAACGCGATGTAAGAGGCCCATCAGGCAAGGTGGCAGGGCGCTTGGAAATCGGGACGACGGAAGATTGCTTCCGCTTAGTACCGTAGGCAGAGATGTGGGACAAAGCAGCCTGGGGAGAGACACTGGGAAGGCTCGCCAAAGAGTTCAAAAGAGCATTGTCCAGCATCGATTCAAAGGCATTGGAGATAACAGAGGCAGCTGCAGGAGGATGGACGTCAACCGTGGAAGAAGCGAGGGAGGAGCGACGGATCGGCCTCAGGAACGTGAAGGACGGACTGCAGAAAGAATTTAGTGATGAGGCAGACCAGCACAGTCTCGAGTGCATCCACAAAGCGAGCGACAATAGCGTCAACAAGATCGGGACTCGGTTGAATGACAGGTGGGAGAGAAGCCTCAGGGGAGAGAGGAACGTCAGTGACAAACGGGTCAGGCAAAAGCGGCGGTGGAGGGGGAAATCGGTGGGTAACAAGGAATTGGGGCAGGATGAGGCAAAATACAATTGGAGGGCAGAGTGATGACGGGAAGAGCCTTAGTGAGCACTGCAACGTAGGAAGGACACTGCTTGAAAGTGATGGCATGATCACCACCACAGTTGGGGCTACAGAGCTTGTCGGGCAACAGAGCCACGAGTGAAATGAGAACCAGAGCATTTGCCACAATGGACATCATTGGTGCAGCCATGGAAGGTATGGCGAAAAACCTTACAACGAAAGCACTGAGTGGGACGGGGAATGTATACCTCCAATTTATGGAGGAAACCATTAATTCAAACCCAATCAGGGGGTAGAGAGTCAAGAAAAGTAAGGAGGGCAGTGCCGGTATCACACAGATCGCCATAAATTCTACGCATAAATTTCTTGACACCGAAGATCGGAATGTCAGCATCCTGCAGTTGCGCCATGATGTCGTCCGCACTAACATCATCAACATGCCGGACCACATATTGTACCAAACGGTCACTCAGAGGTGTATAACAATGGACCTTGTAACTACAGATATTGGTAACGTCCGAAAGCATCAAGTCCCCCAGAGGAAGCGTGGTCCACATCAATCAAGTTCCTGTGTTTATTCGGCTTGAAATCGTGCAACTTGATCTTAAAGAACTCTGGAACGGCTTGATAGAAACGACTGTGCCCTACTATTTCCAAAAATACTCCGATCAGCAGGTGTATCGGCATCAAAGGCGATGATGAACATACGTAGGCCAGGAGAACTCGTCCAACCGGAAAGGAGTGGAGGGCGTGGAGACAAGAGGTTGCAGGGGGGGGGGGGGGGTCACAGGGCACCGCAGGATAGCCGATGAGGCTCCCCACAGAAAATCAGCGTTGAATGTAGTGAAACTTCCTTTTCTGTGCGAGCCCCTGAGGCTTCCTGACACCTTCTCTCCCTCCCTCCCTCCCTCCGGTCGACGATTTTGAACATTCTGAAACTGGGGGGTGACTCAACGGCTCGCCTAAGCAGGTTTGCCCACCCCCCTTCTCGGTGGGGAGCCGCTAACGAGTGGTTAGGCTAGGGGGATGATGATTTTACTGGGTTTTCTTTTGGGGAGAGTTGTTTTCCTTGGTTTGGATGTTAGGTGCAATTTTCACCAGCTTGGTGTTTTTGTTTTGCCCATCTTTCTAGGTGCCTTCCCCAGTCGATTGCAAGTATGACATACTCTAAATGTAGAGTGCTCATAGGCCATTGCTTCCTGTGCCTCTCTGAGGGGACCAGAGGCCAGATTCACGAAGCAGTTATGCAAGCACATACAAACCTGTACATCTTTTCTCAATCTTTGACAGCTTTGTTTACAATAATTAAACAGTTAATGAGCTCTGAAGCTCCAGGAGGCTGTTTATAACAATAACAACAATTTATTGGGAAGTTTTAAAGCTTGAGAACTGTTTAATAAATATAACCAAAGCCGTCAAAGATTGAGGAAAGATGTATACGTTCAAAAGTATTTGCGTAACTGCTTCGTGAATCTGGCCCCAGGTTCTGGCTCATGGTCTCCGATAGGTACAAGAACTTTCCCGTGACTGATGACCCCACACTAATATTGTACATGTCATTTTGGATAGCTTCAGGAAGCCTCTGGAGCTCGCCCAGAAAAGGCCGTTTCCTTACATTCACTTTTTTTTTTTTTGTTTTTTGTTTTTTTACAATATCTTCAGTTTGGTAATGGTGCAGAAAATGAAGAATTTGACATCAAGAAACAATAACAACAATTACATTTACATGATAAACAGGAGGAGAGTGGGAGATCCTGGACGATGTCTCACGTGGTTGGAGCTTAGCTACAAACTCCTCCACTGTATGGCAGTGTTTCTGTACAATGGCACCAATGAAAATAAGAAGGGTGTTAACATAAATTTGTAGGTTCCTTGTAAATTCTAGGAAGACAAGTTTAAATTTGAAGAAATAAAAAAAAATTCACATAAATTTCAGATTCAACAATGAATCCTCAAAGCATGAAGTGTAATTCAACTAAAAGAAAATTTGTAATGTAGAGTAAACATAAATATGAACTAACTAAATGGTTTACATCTGAGCAAGAAGTGTGTGACTTGCTCGACGGTTGTTTCCTTAGTTGACTTGTCTGTGCAAACTTCTCGCTGGGTGAAGAATTTTGCTGTTGAGTACAACAAAGATAGAAAGAAAAAATAAATGAAATAGCAATATAAATAATTAGCAAAATATGAAATAATAATATAAGAGGGATATTGCTGATGGTGCAAATAAGATAAATACTGTACATGCAAACAATGCGTATAAATATTACCAACACATCTAATACAATAGCACATTAATGTCATACAAAGGTAATCAATATTTACGGGTGAAAATTCAATGTTCTAATGGGTTAAAACATACAAGTAGTAAAACAGTCATGCAATACTAAAGCTACACAATATTTCAATACATTTTATTCTTCTAGTATAATTAGAGGCATTAAACTATTTATTAGTGTAATATTTTGTTTTTAAATGGTACCATCTTGTCATTAAGAGCTATTGATGAATGAATGTGGTCCTAATGAACATTAATCATTTTTGTTGGTATTTAATAATGATTATTTATAGTTATATACACGTCTATCCTCGTGTGTCTGTGGAGTTGTCGCATCTTTCACTGCTTTTTTTTTTTTTTAGTGGTAATTAATTTGTTATCTCTGCATTGGATCTTTATTTTGCTGATATTGTATGTTATTTTACCTATTCTCCTTATTCTACTTCCAAGCAAATTACTTGAAACATTTTAGCAGTTTTTGAATTATTGAATGAATTACTAAAATTAATTATTTATTCATTTTAGCTTATGAATGAAAGGAAGGTGGTAGTATTATAGCTAAAAGAGGATTGCATATACGAAGATTGATACAGAAATGGAAAGTAGAAATAACAATATTTTATTGCCCTTCAGTACAGTACAATATATAGGCATACAGTATTTGTTCATCAATATCTCAAATATATCATGCAATATAGCAGGGCTGTAAATCAGTAAATACAACCTTCTTCAAACCCTACAGTTTCAGATCATTTGCATTGTCTTTGCTTGTCTTGAACTTACTCAAAATTACTCTCCAGGTGTTCAACCCTTTTGGCTTTAACTTTTGCTTCTAGTGTTTTGACTACCATGCTTGTTAATGATACTAGTCTGTAATTTAAAGGGTCTTCTTGGGCTTCCATTTTTGTAGATTGGAACTATGTTTGCCTTTTTCTATATAGTGGAGCCTCGATTAATGAATTTAATGTTCCAGCACTGAGCTCGTCATGTGAAACGCTCGTCTTGCGAAAATAACAACACTGTCATCGGAGGCGTCCGAGAACCAGCGGGAACGCTAGGAAGCACCATGTAGTTTGCTCGTTAATCGAGCGAAAGCTTGTCAATCGAGACAAATGTTCTGTGAGTGGCTCGTTCGTTACTCGAAATTCTCGTAACTGGAGTCGCTCGTCACTCGAGGTTCCACTGTATCTGCTAAGTTTCTTGTGCACAAAGATGTTTAGAATATCAAGAGAAGTAGAATGCTCAGCTCAGTTTCAGATTCTCTCAGCACTCAAGGTGAAACTCCTTCTGGTCCAACTGCTTTATTTCTTCCTGGCAACTTAAGTAATTCTTCCACTTCGTCTCAAGACACCACTATGCACTTTTTGGTGTTCTCTGGAATTTGCATTGTCTGGTTCACTGAAAACCTCATTTTGTACAAACATACTTCAGAACTGTTCATATAGTGTTTCTTGCATTTCTTGTTCATTTTCTGTGAAATTACCCAAGTGTAGTTACAGGATAAGAGCTACGCTCGTGGTGTCTCATCTTCCCAGCACTCTTTGTCATAAAACGCTTTGAAACTACTGACAGTTTTGACCTCCACCACCTTCTCACCTAACTTGTTCCAACCGTCTACCACTCTGTTTACAAAAGTGAATTTTCTTATATTTCTCCAGCAGCTTTGTTTCGTTAGTTTAAATCTATGACCTCTCGTTCATGAAGTTCCGGGTCTCGGGAATTCTTCCCTATCAATTTTATCAATTCCTGTTACTATTTTGTACGTTGTGATCATATCGTCTCTTTTTATTCTATCTTCTAGTTTTTGCATATTTAATGCCTTTAACCTTTCCACGTACCTCTTGTCCTTCAGTTCTGGGAGCCACTTAGTGACATGTCTTTGCACCTTTTCCAGTTTATTGATGTGTTCTTAAGATATGGGCACCATACAACTGCTGCATATTCCAGCTTTGGTCTAACAAAAGTCGTGAACAATTTCTTAAGTATTTCGCTATCCATGTATTTAAAAGCAATTCTGAAATTAGAAAGTATAGCATGGGCTCTTTTCTGTGGGGAGCCTCTTTGGCTCCCTGGAGTTATTGGGCCAATATGTGAATCATTAGACCGGGGCATTAGCTATGGAGTTCTGATCAGACCTACCAGGGCCAGAGCATGGAACCTGGCCTTCCCTCAGAGAGGTGCAGGGAGCAATGGCCCTGGAAAACTTTCCCTGTGGTTGGGGGTTATCCTTATCTGCCATCGACCGGGGTTAGGCACCTAGAAAGGTAGGCATAACAAAACAAACCCCACATGGTAAGAAAATTACAACTGAAAAACGAACAGAGGTAGAACTCCCTCAGTTCCCAAGGAAACAAGCAAACAAGCAAACATCACACTCCATTGCCCTGTTGCTCATCCTCGCAGCTTTCCTCCCCTTCCCTCAGGAGGGAGAGGAGGGGGAGCCCCAAACCCCCAGCACCGGCGACCCAGCCACTCCAGTTCGTCAGCTAATGCGAACCGGGGCTGACACTTCTCTGGCCTCACTTTCCAAGCAGTATTTGCCTTCGAGGTGTCCTCTGTGGTGTCGTTGTGTGTGGTGGCCAGGTGTCCTCAAGAGTACTGGGGCTGCATGTGCTTAGGGGCATCCTTCCCTAAGTTCCCTGTGAGTACTACTTTTGTGTGTTAGGGTTCTCTTCCCTGATGCGTTCGGGAACCAATTCCGTAGGGGTTTTTGCTGCTTGGCACTTACCCTGCCCTTGGGGCCAGCTGGGGTTTCATGGCCCTTGTTTGGCCTTGGGTAGGGATTGGTATCTTGCTGGTTGGGGCATCAAGGTGTTGTGTAGCCTGCCTACCTATATGGCGGCCGGTTCCTGTTTTCTCTGGGGACGTTGTACTTTTGCAGGGGTTTTCTTTTGTTTTTGTTTTTCTTGCCTAATGGGGGTCTGCCTGATGTGGCTATAGTTCTACTTATAAAATATTGGTGGCCCTCTGCTAGGCCCCAGTGATTGTTCACGTCGCAGAGGTTTCAGTGTTTTGATCTACCCCTTGTTAGCTTTGGGTCTTAACCGGTTAGCAACACCTTGCCTGGGCTTCCCGTAGTAGTTAGCCTATGGGCCTTGGAAAACCCTGTTGGGGCTCGGTGGACCTATGGATGCGTCTTCCGAGTTCCAGCCTGCCTTGTTGGGGTTTGAAGGTTGCTGTGTACCCTTGTCTCCAGGTGACAGTCACCACTTTTGCCTCTGTCATGCTGCCTGTTGGGTCAGCGACACCTATGACCCGGAGTCTTGCGAGTCATGTTCTCTGCTTGTTCTCCAGTACTACTCTGATGACATTACTGTTAGGGTACAGGCAGCATCCACGTTGCATGCTAGGTTTAGGTTGCTGCAACGCAGTAGGTTGGTTTCCCACCCAAATGCCCCAAGGCTGCCCTTCTTTGGTTATAGGGACCTGGACCTGGGGGGCGTCAGTTGCTTCGACTTTGATTGAGTCTGCGCTCACTGGTCCTTCCCATGTTGTTCATCCTGCACCTTCCCACTGCTTCCGTCTCCCAAAGGTCTGTGGATTTTGGGGTCAGGGCAGGGTTTTGTTGGTAATGAGACTAGGGCAGCTTCAGGGGCTGCCCCATTCGGGTTGGGGACAGAAGCATTCGTGCCAGTTCCTCCTTTTAAGGCTTCTGGTTCCAACCAGCAGGCCCCTTCCCGAGTCCTCCCCTGGACTCTGCCTGTTCCATGAGCCGGCCTCTATACCTTGGAGAGGGGTATGGAGACCGGCTCTGCCCCATTCAACTCCATTGGGAGGATCCCGGTTCTGGGGAGGGTTGACCTAAGGGCCTTGCCCCTGCTTTGACACCACTTGGGGTCCTTGCCTCTTCGCAGGGCCACCTCCCTGCGAGTGGCTCGTCTGCTGGATTTTTGGGGTTTGGACTCTCCGTGCGGTTCATATCTGGGGAGTTCGTATCCAAGGCCGTCCTGGCTGACGGCCTGTCTTGGTTCATTACCCCTGTCCACAGAATGGACGGTCGACGCCGACTCCTTTTGTTGGCTCTGCCAGACGTACGGACTCCCGGAAGTGGACTTCTTCGCGTCGGTGTGGTCTCGCGTCTCCCAATCTATGTGGCCCTTCCCCGACTGTGAGGCTTTCGCGGTGGATGCCTTTCGGCAGGACTGGTCAAGGTGGGATTACCTGTACCTCCCCCCCCCCCTCGGTCCAGCTGTTGCTTCGGGTTCTGGCTTGGTTGGAAACCTTCTACGGGAGAGTAGTCCTTGTGGCCCCTTGGTGGCCGGCCCAGCCTTGGTTTCAGGCGCTACTTGCTCGGTGTCCGAACCTGGGGCATTTTCCGTGGCTCCGCCTCTTTCAGCAGGTTGGACCGGTCCGGTACATGGCTTGTTCGATCTTCTCTGCTCTTCACATCTGGTCTTTTGACATGGGGTTATCACCATTTCTATGGTGATCAGGTGGCTTCGTTGATGGTGTCCCATCTGAGAGTTTCATCTTGGCGACAGTATGAAGTTTCCTGGCGTTCTTTCCGCCATTTTCTTCATGTTTTCTTCTTCGTTTGGGTTGTCTTCTATTTCTGATCGGGTTGTCTTGTCCTTTCTGTCTTGGCTTTTTCAGGACTGTCATTTGATGCCTAATACTGTCGCCTCTTATCGTGTGGTGCTAGCGGAGCCGCTCCAGCTTGCATTCAGGGTGGATGTTACTTCTGCCCCATTCTGTAAGCTTTCTCATGCTATGTTTCACCTCCGGCCTGCTCATGCGCCACCTGAGCCGTCCTGGTCCTTGGACAGGGTGCTCTCCTATCTTTCTTCTCCTCGGTTCATGGTGGCCCCTTCGGTTCAAGATTGTTTTTCCAAGGCTCTGTTT